AGGCCACATTTGGCAGGTGCGCATATCCATTTTTCAACTTGGAATTTTGACATGTAGTCAACCTGCGCACATGTCCTATTTGGGACATTTGTAAGGCCGGCCAATGTATTTTACCCCCACCAAACCATATATTTTTGGAAAGTAGACACCCTAGGGTATTTCAAATGGTGGTTTTTTAACACTTTCCATGCACTAATTCTACCACCAGACATTGTCAAACATTTAGGTAGTCATTTTTTGTGTGTTTTTTTTCACACACATTGTACTTTAGGCATGAATTAACAAATCGTGTTATGTGTCACTGCCAAACAACACACCAATATGTGTTCAGCAACATCTCCTGAGTACAGTGATACCACCCATGCATAGGCTTGTCGGATTGTTTGGGGGCTAAAAGGCCACATTTGGCAGGTGCGCATATCCATTTTTCAACTTGGAATTTTGACATGTAGTAAACCAGCGCCCCTGTCCTATTTGGGCCAATGTATTTTACCCCCATCAAACCATATATTTTTGAAAAGTAGACAACTCAGGGTATTTTAAATGGTGGTAGTTTAATACTTTTCATGCAATAATTCTACCACCAGCCTTTGGCAAACCTTTGCGTAGTAATTTTCTTCATGTTTTTTTACACATATATTGTACTTTAGGCATGAATTAACAGATCCTGTTATGTATCACTGCCAAACAACACCCCAATATGTGTTCAGCAACATCTCCTGAGTACAGTGAAATAACCCATGCATAGGTTTGCTGGGTTGTTTGGGGGCTAAAAGGCCACATTCAAGACTTGTACATATCAGTTTTTCAACTTGATATATAGGTATGCTTGGCCTATCTTCAGTTTGGCATATTTTTGCATCCCCCCGTTAATGTTAACATCATGAAAGTTTATATTTTTATAAAGTAGACATTCCAGAGTATTGTATATGAGGTGTTTTCACATCCTTCCCCCAACCATTGTGCTAAACAAATTTCAGAGAACGTGCATGGTGGTAATTTTTTAATTCTGCTTTTTATGCACACGTCATCTGGTTTTGGCCAGCCAGTTATATGTTACTACCATAAAACTTTTTTAACCAAATGTGCAGGTATCAAATGCACCTTTAGCAGCATTCTCTAAACTAACTCCTGCAAAAAGAATCTAATTGGAGATTTGGGGGGAAGGAAACTGACTAACTAAAATTTGCTGCTTTCAAAAGAAAAAAAAACAGTGCAAAGGGGTGTCTGTCCTTTTCCTTTTTTATAACAGACCCAGCAACATTTCAGGGGATTTGGTTTTTTTTTGCAGTTGGCGGTATCTTAAAAATAAAATGTCTGGACTCCTTTGGCACCGTTGTTGGAACTTGACCATCTCCATAAATTATTGTGGAAATCAGCTTGAACTAAAATTGGAGAAAGGTGGTTCTTTCTGGATTCATTTTTTTTTAAAGAGTAAAAATTAATTATGTGTTGCTACTTGCATCAGGTAGATAGCCACCTTTTTATACCAGGCTTTTGTCTTTCTTAAGATAAGATATGGCTGCATCAGCTGATCAGCCAAATCAACACCCCCCATGTGCCTGTTATAAGCCCTGATGCACACCGGTTTTGTCTGTACCCTGCCTCGGACAGTGACGTCTGACATGCCCTCGTTATGGATGGTTGTTAGCATGTGAACATCCTTCCTGTCCTTAAATTTTATTGCAAGCACTTTAGCTTTGTGCAGACCTTTACATTCACTTTTTTTTTTATTTGGCCTCTATAAAAGGTCTGGGGAAATCCTTGGCATATCTTCTCACACTGCCACAGGCCAGTATCTAGAAACCCTAAAGAGTTTGAAACAAACGGACAATGCTATAAAAATTGTCCACATAAAGGTGGTAACCCTTATTGAACAAGGGGATCAGTAAGTCAAAAACAAGTTTCCCGCTTGTCCCCAGAGAGTCAGTACAGCCAGGAGGGTCCAGTTGACCATCTTTCCCCTCATATATACGAAAGGCAAATGTATAGCCACTTTCGCTCTCGCACAGTTTGTAGAATTTTACGCCATACCTAAAGCGCTTTGAGAGGATGTATTGTTTGAATCCTAATCTCCCTTTATATTTCATTAATGATTCATCAATAGATACATTTTTTTGAGGAGTATAAACTTCAGTAAATTTGTGCTGAAGATGGTCTACCAGTGGGTGTATTTTATGAAGCCTATCATATTGGGTGTGATCTCTGGGGTGACAGAGGGTATTGTCATTGAAATGTAAGTATCTCAGCAGCAGCTCAAATCTTGTTCTAGACATGGTTTGAGAGTACACTTGACTAGAACAGATTGGGTTGGTGCTCCAGTAAGAGCAAATTGATGGCTTCTTTATAATCCCCATGAGAATTGTAAGAGCCCAGAATTTTTTAAGTTCAGCGACATCTGTGGGATGCCAAGCACACTCCTCCCTGACTGCATAGCTATCTGGATTGGTATCAATAAATTGGGTAGCATATAAATTAGTCTGGGGAGCAATCTCCTCCCACATGGTATCCCCTAAAAATAGCTCCATATATTGCATAAAGGAGAAGTCATCCACATTGACATTAATGCCTGTGTTGGCACTAAAAGGGGTGATTTGGGGCTCAGCTAACTGTGGAGAAACCTGTTCCTCCTCCACATTCGGCATAGCAGAGAAAGCACAGCTTCTTTTTGCAGCCGGCTCACACACAGATGACATGTCAGAAAACTGACCTGGGTCAAAATCGGACGCAGTGTCAGTGGCGTCAGAGTCTGGCTAACACAGAGTTACTAACACACAATTTATTTTTATTTTATACTAAAAACAGACTAAAACTGATAAAAACAGACTAAATGAGACTAAAACTTCTGTTAGCAGCAATCTGTAAACTAACTCCTGCAAAAAGTATCTAACTGGAGATTTGGGGGAAGGATACTGACTAACAGAAATTTTCTGCTTTCAAAATAAACAAAAAAAATAAATCAGGAACAAGTATTATAAAAATGTATTTTCTGTGTGGTAGACCTTAAAACATGCTCCAATACACAGTCCAGGTTTTGTAGGGCAATCGGGACAGTGAAAAGGGGTGTCTGTCCTTTTCCCTTTTTTATAACAGACCCGGCAACGTTTCTGGGGGTTTCTTTTTTTTGGTGTTGGCAGTATCTTAAAAATAAAATGTCTAGACGACTCTTGCACTGTTGTTGGAACTTGACCCTCTCCATAAATTATTGTGGAAATCAGCTTGAGCTGAAATTGGAGATAGGTGGTTCTTCCTGGATTCATTTTTTTAAAAATTAAAAATGAATTATGTGTTGCTACTTGCAACAGGTAGATAGCCACCTTTTTATACCAGGCTTTTGTCATTCTTAAGATAAGATATGGCTGCATCAGCTGATCAGCCAAATCAACACCCCCCATGTGCCTGTTATAAGCCCTGATGCACACCGGTTTTGTCTGTACCCTGCCTCGGACAGTGACGTCTGACATGCCCTCGTTATGGATGGTTGTTAGCATGTGAACATCCTTCCTGTCCTTAAATTTTAGCGCAAACAGTTCAGCCTTGCGCAGAGCTTTGCATTCCCCTTTTTTTAATTTGGCCTCTATGAGAGGTCTGGGGAAATCCTTGGCATTTCTTCTTACAGTGCCTCAGGCCAGTGTCTGTAAACTATAAAGAATTTTAAACAAGTGGACACTGCTGTAAAAATTGTCCACATAAAGGTGGTAACCCTTATTGAACAAAGGGATCAGTAGGTCCCAAACATGTTTCCCACTTGTCCCCAGAGAGTCAGGACAGCCAGGAGGGTTCAGTTGAGCATCTTTCCCCTCGTATACACGAAAGGCAAATGTGTAGCCACTTTCGCTCTCGCAAAGTTTGTACACTTTAATGCCATACCTAGACCGCTTTGAGGGGATATATTGTTTGAACCCTAATCTCCCTTTGTATTTCATAAGGGATTCATCGATGGATAAAGTTTGTTGGGGAGTATAAACTTCAGAAAATCTGTTCTGAAGATGGTCTACCAGTGGGCGTATTTTATGAAGCCTATCATATTGGGGGTGATCTCTGGGGTGACAGAGCGTATTGTCGTTAAAATGTAAGTATCTGAGCAGCAGCTCATATCTTGGTCTAGGCATTGTTTGGGAGAATATAGGAGTCGAACAAATTGGGTTGGTGCTCCAGTAACACCGGATTGATGGCTTCTTTATTATCCCCATGAGCATGGTAAGAGCCCAGAATGTTTTAAGTTCAGGGACATCTGTTGGATGCCAAGCATGCTCCCTGACTGTATAGCTACCTGGATTGGTCTCAATAAATTGGCTAGCGTATAAATTAGTCTGGGAAGCAATCTCCTCCCAGATGGTATCCCCTAAAAATAACTCCATATATTGTATAGGGGAGAAGTCAACCACATTCACATTAATGCCTGCGTTGGCACTAAAAGGGGGGATGTTGGGCTCAGCTAACTGTGGAGGTACCCAGTCCTCCTCCACATTCAGCGTAGCAGGGGAAGCACAGCTTCTTTTAGCAGCTGGCTCACTCACAGATGACATGTCACTAGACGTGCCGCTAAACTGACCTGGGTCAAAATCGGACGCAGTGTCAGTGGCGTCAGAGTCTGACGCCAAGAAGGCATATGCCTCCTCCAAGCTGTACATGCGCTGCATGTTTCACACTAACAGACTAAACTAACAAAATACTAAACACAATATTTTTTATTTTTTTTTTAAACACTAAAACAGACTAAAACAGACTAAAACAGTAATCCCTAAACTAACTCCTGTTAGAAGAATCTAATGGAGATTTGGGGGAAGGAAACTGACTGACTACGACAGACTATGACAGACTATGACAGACTAAAACAGACTACGACAGACTAAAACAGACTAAAACAGACTACGACAGACTACGACAGTCTAAGACAGTCTAAGACAGTCTAAGACAGTCTAAGACACAGATTTTTTTAAATAAAGTTAACCCTTAAGGGCAAAAAAAAAATACAGACAGTACAAATGCACTAGCATTAGCGGACCAGGAGGAGAACACATTGACACTGTGTAACAGCATCGCTACTGCTGCCTGTATCCCTCTGCCGGGCTCCGTGTCGGTGTATCACCTCAGAGCCGGTATATCGCAGTGGACAGCACCTTCCAGAACTGAAGCGCACACACCTGGCTAGAGATGGGCTCCTGATCTTCTACCACAGCAGGAACACTGCTTTCCACTGACATCTCTGGTGCAATCTTTTTTGCCGTATGTCTGTCAGCCCCTAATTTGAGAGAGTTGGACACCACTGACGGAGAGAAACCCACAGCATATCCCATAAGCGGGGATCATACCGCCGCATGCGCTTCTATCCTAGAGCTGGACATAAGCTCTATTAAATGTGAGTTCTCCTATATTATTTTTCCACACGTCACCTTTGATATTATACAATACTGCACTATTGGTCGTCTTTCTCTCTCCTTTTTTGTCTTCTATATGAGTGGAACCTATACAGCTTATGAAGACTTCATTGCTGCGTTACCTGCCATAAAGACTATCCAAAAGGACACTTAAGTTGAACTTTTATTTTATTTATTTTTTATTTATTTATTTATTCCATTGGACTTTTTTACTTGGAGTTACTTTATTTTATTCTCCTACTGGCGCTGCCTTTTTATTGTTGAGTACAAATGCACTGTCTGTAACAGATCTGGCAGGGAAGGGGTTAAAAGGGATTTTTTATTAACTTCTGATACTTTATATTTTTCACAGGAACAGCTGCTGCAACAAACTATCAGGATCCATAGGCGTGCGCACGGGGTGTGCCGGGTGTGCCTGGGCACACCCTAATCCCGCGGCAAGCCTATGTATATTGAGACCGGCAGGGGACATCTCAGGATCTCCCCTGTCGGCTCATGCAGAGCCATAGCGCCGGCTCTGCTCTCAGCCTCCCTCCCCACTGACCCGCATGCAGGGAGGGAGTCAGGAGAGGACCCGGCGGAGCTATTGCCGCAGCTCCGCCGGGTTCCTCTCGCGAGATATGAGCGTTGCCACGGCAACGCTCAAATCTCGCGAGAGTGAACTCTAGCCCCACAGGGGTTAGAGTTCACTCTCCAATGGACCACCAGGGATCACAGCAGCAAGGATCCCCTCCTCCACTGGACCACCAGGACCACGATCCCCCCTCCCTACAAAAGGTAAGAAGGGAGGGGGGATAGCAAATAATGTAGCCCCACCTCCACCCCCCACAATCACCCACCCACATACAGCACACACAGCACACACACATACAGCACACACAGACATACAACACCCACAGACATACAACACCCACCCACATACAGCACACACAGACAAACAACACCCACAGACATACAACACCCACACACATACAGCACCCACAAACATACAGCACCCACAGACTTACACAGCACCCACAGACATACACAGCACCCACAAACATACAGCACCCACAGACATACACAGCACCCACAGACATACAGCACCCATACACATACAGCACACACAGACATACAACACCCACAGACATACAACACCCACACACATACAGCACCCACAGACAAACAACACCCACAGACATACAACACCCACACACATACAGCACCCACAGACATACACAGCACCCACAGACATACAACACCCACACACATACAGCACACACAGACAAACAACACCCACAGACATACAACACCCACAGACATACAACACCCACACACATACAGCACACACAGACATACACAGCACCCACAGACATACAACACCCACACACATACAGCACACACAGACAAACAACACCCACAGACATACAACACCCACACACATACAGCACCCACAAACATACAGCACCCACAGACATACACAGCACCCACAGACATACACAGTACCCACAAACATACAGCACCCACAGACATACACAGCACCCACAGACATACAGCACCCATACACCGCACACACATACATACACAGCACCCACACACATACAGCACCCACACACATACAGTAGCCACATACATACAGCACCCACACACATACACAGCACCCACAGACATTCAGCACCCACAGACATACAGCACCCACAGACATACACAGCACCCACACACATACAGCACCCACAGACATACACAGCACCCACACACATACAGCACCCACATACATTTAGCACCCACAGACATACAGCACCCACACACATACACAGCACCCACACACATAAAGTAACCCAGGTAGCTACACAGCACCCACACATACAGCACCCACATACATTCAGCACCCACACACATACAGCACCCACACACATACAGCACCCATACACATACAGCACCCATACACAGCACCCACACACATACACAGCACCCACACACATACAGCACCCACAGACATACACAGCACCCACAGACATACAGCACCCACAGACATACACAGCACCAACACACATACAGCACCCACACACACAGCACCCTCACAAACACACACAGTACCCTCACACACAGCACACAAACAGCACCCTCACACACACACAGCACACTAACAGTACCCTCACAAACACAAAAGGACCCTAACAAACACACACACAGCACACTACCAGTACCCTCACACACAAACAGCACCCTCACACACAGTACATTAACAGTACCCTCACAAGCGCACACACACACACAAACAGCACCCTCACACACAGTACATTAACAGCATCCTCACAAGCACGCACACACAAACACCCTCACCACATAGCACACTACCAGCACCGTCACACACACATCACACTAACAACACCCTCACACAGCACACACACACACACACACACACAGTGTGTGTATGTGTGTATATATGTGTATGTATATAGCAGTAGCATATATGAGTATATATACACATATATATATATATATATACATACATATCTATATATATATATATATATATATATATATATGCAGCGTGTGCTTGTGCTTTAGGGTGCACACCCTAATGCAATAGGCTGCGCACGCCTATGCTTCCAAGACGACCACTGCCTTGCTAAAAAAGCTGAAGTTAAAGGTGATGGACTGGCCAAGCATGTTTCCAGACCTATAACCTATTGAGCATCTGTGGGGTATCCTCAAAAAGGTGAGGGAGCACAAGTCTCTAACAGCCACCAGCTCCGTGATGTCGTCATGGAGGAGTTGAAGAGGACTCCAGCGGCAACCTGTGAAGCTCTGGTGAACTTCATGGCCATGAGGGTTAAGGCAGTGCTGGAAAATCGTGGTGGCCACACAAAATTGTGACACTTTGGGCCCAATTTGGACAGGGGTGTACTAACTTTTGTTGCCAACGGTTTAGACATTAATGGCTGTGTGTTGAGTTATTTTGAGGGGACAGCAAATTTACACTGTTATACAGGTTGTACACTTACTACTTTACATTGTAGCAGAGTGTCATTTCTTCAGTGTTGTCACATAAAAAGATATAATAAAATATTTACAAAAATATGAGGGGTGTACTCACTTTTGGGAGATACTGTATA